AGCACAGTCTCACACAAAGCAAAGAAAAAATGTAGGAAAAAAACACCAAACACCAAAAAAGTCGTCTTTGGAGAAAAATATGGTGCTTTAAGAGAAGTAAATTCAAGTTACGATTAAAGAATTAACATGCTGAACTAAGTGGTTAAAAGGGGAACAGAGTGGGACTGGTGCAACGTGGAAGTGTTTTAGCTACTTTGCTTCCTATCATTCAAACTGTATTACTTTTCCATTTTATTTTCTTTTAAAAATGTCTTTCGATGAAGCCATTGCTATCAATGTCAAGCACAAACCCCCTGCAAATGTTTGAACAAAGCAGAGCACTTGTTTAAGGCTTCAAAGAAAGGAGGAATGCTATAAAAGAATACTGTCAAAGCCTTTTTCTTAAAACAACTGCATTAACTATCATCTTTGAATACTTAACCTGAACCACATTCAGCAAGTTCAAGGACTGAAGAGCATACTTTTTTTAAAAGCCAACTTGGACAGAAAAATAATGCTTGTTTGCCAATATTACTAGTTGCAGAAAGAAATGGTACGGCCCAGAAAGCCTTCGGAGGGTTGTCAGGTCCCTCTGGGGAGAGGTGCTCCCCACGCACCTCCTGAGTGGGGTCTTCACAAGCCTCCGAGAAACTTGGTGTTTTCTTGGGATGGTGGTAGCAATAAGGACTTCCAAACTCTTGCAGCCCAAATGACCAGAGCTCTGCCGGCCAAAGGGGGCTGCAGACCTAGCAATGCTCCTGTTGATGGCATCAGCTGTATCTTCACTGAAGAGGCTGTTGGGCAGAGCTACACCAAGAAGAGGTGACCCACAGGGGCTCCAGCTGTGACGGAACATCAAAGTCTATTCAGGATTCTATCAGCTTTAACTTTCAGTTCTTGCTCTGTTATGTCCACGCTGTACATGTCAAGCCTTGTTTGCGTGATAGCTGTCATGGGACATTTTGCCAGAACGCACAGAACACAAACGTCTCAGACTCAGGTCTGTCCAGTGTCTTTATCCAGTTCTGAGCTTTCCCATTTCTGATTCCCTGTCTGATTCCTCGTTTAGGAGAAAAGAGCAGCAACTGAGAAATTAAGAGGTCTGAAAGGTAATTTATTACCTAAAACCCCAGTGAAAAGCAGAAGCAAAAAAAAAAAACCAAAACCCAAACCCAAACAAATCAGAAGCTGTTGCCTGGAAGGATGATCTTACTGAGGTCACCTATGAAAGGTGTAGAAGACATTGGGGCAGCGACCAAACGTGTCTAGGCAGGGACTGCTACAAGGTGATCGGGTTGTCACAACCATAGGGCCTGTGCCAGTGAAAGGACCTAGTTACGGAAAGCATTTCTGTGAGCATGTTCTTCACCTTCTGCTCTGCCTGAGCATCTTCTGAATGATGTCCATAATCCCAGCCTAGTTTTCAAGGTTGTTTTTTCAGCCTCTCCTGCTTTCCAGGTCACTGGAGTTACCCTGTCAGTAGCACCCACGTTCACTACTTTGGGGCTATTTTGGGCAAGTCAGCATGAGCTACGACCACATCGTGGAGGGCAGCGGGATGGAGAATGAGGATTTTTCCTCTTTCCTCCTGGTCTCTAACTACTAGTCTTCCTACCTCACTGCCTTCATGTAGGAAACTTGGTCATTTACAGGCTGCTGTTTTGTTACCGTGACTGTTGCAGAGTTCAGTGTCATCTCAGAGAAAGCAAAGGTCTTAGCTGTTGAAAGATCATGCTACCAACGTGCCTATGAAGAATTTACCCTCTTTTTATTGGAGCGTGCTTTCAGCTTCATGATGCAGAAGAGCAGATAGAGGTTGTTTAAGATACTAGAAAGCCCTCTGAGCCAAAAGCATGAGCCTGCAAAGGTGTTCGTGGAGAACACTGGGCTATAATAGCGAGTATTTGGGCCCAGCCTGGTATAACACAGTACCAAACCAACCAAGGTCTGGCTCAGTTTGATGCCAAGCCACATCTGTCAGCTGCCTGCAGTGCTGGCTTTAGGGATCGGCTGCCTGTGCCATGGGCAGCGTTGCGTGCGGCGAAGGGGAGATAAGCTGCTCCCTGGGAGCTGGTGCAGCTCTGAAACCACGGCGGGGTGAGACCCTGAGGTTCCTTCAGCTCCTCTGCCTCTCAGTCCTCCTCCCACCCCTGGGGAGGTGACCCCCTCTGTGCTGCCCCACTCACTGGTCCAGTCGGGCGGGTGGCTCTGCTCCCACGGCCAGCACCCTCCGTCCTCCTCCCCAGCTTCTGCCCAGCGGGACTTTGTAGTGCAGGTGACTATTCTAGTTTATTATGGCCTCCGGGCACTTTGCAAGAAAGATCTCAGACACCTTCAGAAGTAGCTGAAATCAAGGAGATCAAGTGCGAAGTGCTCAGCCAGTGACACTCCCACCAAGTACACAGATACCCACTGCCACCCGCACCGGCACCCCATGTCCTGTTTTCTGCCAAGTCTTCCGATTAAACAGTTTTAGAAGGTATGTTGACCTCTGCCAGGTCTGCTACCTCATTTTCTGACTGCATCTAAGGCCGTGAAAACTTGAACACCGACCTATGGTAACAGGCTGGACGTGAATAAGAAGGAAAGGATGACATTCTCCTCGACTGGTGGCACTGGACCTGCCCAGCAGGGTCCCAGGCTCTGACCCAGCTCGTGTCGTGGGTGTCTCTCCCTTTGCTGGGGCCTGAGGGCAGATATGAGGGACGGTGATCTGAGCTCTTGGGACACTGCAGCTCTGAAATGTGGAATGATTCAGCAGTGAGGCGCAAGCCAAAACCGTCATGTAGAGGCTGTTGCAGAGTAATTGCCATATTCAGGATGTTCTTCAGGTTCTGTTGGGGCAGATGTGCTCGAAAGCCCTTTTTTTGCTTTAAGTTTTTCAAGTTAATGTCATATTTAAAGCTTCGTTTCTCGTGCAGAGAGGTGTCAGTCCCTGCAGTTTATAGGCATAGGAAAGTGTTTCATGCAAACAGAAAACATAATACTGACTGTCAAGTTAAAGAGACGCTAGCCAGGCCCTTAGTTCCCCCCAGTCTGCACCTCATGGGAAAGATGGTCCCAAGGCAGCACAATCATGCTGTCAAGTGGCAAGCAAGTTGAATGATCTGCCCATGATGCTCAAGAGCAGCTGCATTGGTTTTCAGGTTCACCCACAGGCCAGTCCTGCAGTTCCTTTTGGTTTCCTACGCAGGCATCTCAGAAGGCTCCCGATTCGCCCCTGTTCTACAGACAGGGAAGCCGGGACCAGAAACCTGCCACGGGCCACAGAGCAGCAGCAGAAGTGCTGGTAGCAGTGGTCTTCTACATCCTTTTAAATTGATCTAAATCCCATTTCCTACGGTCTTGCTCAGCCCCACCTGTCTCTTTCTTCTCCCTGCTGATCCTTGAACGCTCTCACAGCAAGCAGGTTCCCCTCTCCAGCCCGTCGGGCAGGTAATGGGTGGGAGCGTGGCTTGGGAAGAAGGCAGCGACGAGCAATGAGGTGCGGAGGGCTGCAGGGACGGTCCAGGTTAAACCATTTTACACTTCTGCAGATCTGTACCCTTGGCTCTGAGCTTCTGACGCGAGGCATGCACACGTCCAGATGCCAAGGCAGGGCTGGTCCTAGTAAGAAATATTTGAATTAACTCTGGGACTTCTGTCTGTGCATTGAGAAATACAGACGTTAGCTGGAGACTCGCGATGTCTTTCGAGATGAAACTAATAGAGTCTTTCTAAACGCAGGCAGAGCAAAACCTGCTGAGGGGAAAGGACTGGAGCAAGCCCACAGAGCAGGCCAACCTGCAGGCCCACAGCTGAATTCTGTGGCTCTCATTCATCTCTAGTTATCTAATGAAGCAGCTCTGCAGGTGCCTGTCCCCCTTGGGTGGGCCATATGTCAGCAAACATCAGCTAACCCTGCCTTAAAGGAAACTCTTCATCTTCTTTATTCCAACCAGCCTGAGACAGCCTGGCAAAGGCCACAGCCAAGACTACACAAATGAAAGGATGTGCTTTGGAAAGGCCCTGGAGGAGCAAATCTGTTAGCTGTGGACCTCACCTGCACTGAATCTTCTCCTACCTCCATAGCGAAAATGTCTCTTCTGATTGTCCCTCTGTAGAACAGCCAGTTGAGATTTCTGAGTCTGTTCTGCAAAACGAGGTCTGCTGTTGGATGTGGCTTGCCCGGTGTTTCTGAGTTTGCTCTGGCACAGACATGCAGAAGACGGGCCAGACACATTTTCAGCTGGCTCCCTCAAATGTCTGTGTGAAGGAAATTACTTCTCACTTTCAAAAAAAAAAAAAAAAGTAGCTTTGAGCCCCTGTGTCTGATCCTTACTTGTTTTTCCCCCTTGCTCCATCTCTGACATCTGCACCAAGAGTGTGGGAAGTGCTGCCAGGTTGGGAGGGTGGGTGTGTGGGTCTTCTCGGGGAGTCAACATGATGCAAGCTGAAAAGCAAAGGCGTCAGAACCCTTCTCATAACCTGGAGCTAGGGTTTGGGTTTGCCCAGCATTGT